CCAGCTGTTAACTGTGAGCCGCTTTAAGATAGTGTGAAATTCTCCTAAGGAGAGAGAGGAGTGCCCAGTGGTTGTACTTTTGAAGTGTTTACTAAAGTATATTCTGAACACTACTCTTATAGTCCCAGAAAAATGTTAATCCATGCTCCCTAGAACTAAACAGTTCCATGGTCAGATAAATTTGGGAAGCATTTGTATCCTTTTTTCCCCTCTAGGAGATTCACAATGCACATTTGCATTTTAATGATTCTGAACCATCTGCAGTAGGGAAACATGTTTAACCTGATAATTCATTTACTTAACTATTAACATTCTGAGAAACTGATGTTCCATGGAACAAACTTTGGGAAATGACAGCTATACACAGCAGTAGTTTTCAAACTCTGGTGTGTATCAGAATTAGCTGGAGAGCTGATAGAGAACGCAGGTGCCAGGGCTTGCCAAAGTAGGATAGGTCCTAGGCCTTTGTATTTTCACCCAATTCTCCAGGCGATCATGATTCCCACCAATGTTTGAGAATAACTGCTATAGGTTAATCCCAGAAGAGTTCATAACCATCTGGGGACACATGGCACCTGTGAGCCCAGTTTCCATCTTGCAGAAACCTATGTTATCTGGGGGAGGACCAGCATCAGCCGTGAACTACCGTCATCTAAGAAAGAACATTAGGACCACATGGGGCACCCCAAAGATTCCTCTCTCTATTCTACATACTGGAGGGATTCTTCCAAGTCTCTTTTCTTCTTTTGCAACCTCCCAGTCAACAGAAAGGAAGCTATTCCTTAGCTCTGCTCTAAATCAGATCTCCTGAGAAGGGGTCTCTCTAGAACCAACTCATTTGTTCATTGAACAAATCTTCATCAATCAGCATTTTGGCAGTATTCAGGGGAAAAGACAGGCAAGGCATTCCCATGAGGCAGGGGTAGGGGACAGAAAATAAACAAGTAAATAAATAATTTCAGATACTAATCCATGTCATGAAGAAGATAAACAGTGTCACAGGACAGAGGATGACTGAGTCAGGATTTTGTTTACATACTGTGCTCCTAGAAGACTGCCAAAACCGCAAGGCCAGTCACGGTAATGTGGACACCATTCCAGAGGCCAGCAGTGACTGAGATTGGCCTTGATGGTTCAGAAAACTTCACCAGCCACCTCCAATATATGTGGTCAAGAGGCAGCCTATATCCCTTGTACCTACTAGAGTGATTGGCTTATACAGAGTCCCCAATGAATACTGGAGAATGGCTAGTTGGATGGATGGATTGTTGGATATGTCCTTAATTCTGGTGATTTTGACAGACAGGCAAACATGGCTTGTATTTCACACAGGTGAAATAACCTTATTTCCCAGGTCTCACTGGTCCTGTGCCTTCTCCCTATATGGCTCTGCTCAGACTTCCTAAAATGCTCTCCTTTCTTCTGCCACCCCCAAGCCTACTCAGCCTTCAAATGCCACTTCCTCTTTGATCCTCCCCAGCTGAAAGAAAATGTACTTTCTCACTGTTCTTTCCTTTTTTTTTTTTTTTTTTTTTAACATATCTGATGCTCACATACTCTGCAAACACTCCCTTACTGAAGACCCACTCTGTGCCAGGTACTATACCTGGCACTGGGGACATCCTGGGGATAAAAGACATAGACATGTCTTCTTGTTCATGGAATAAGGGGCTAGTGGGGGAGGCAGGTCTGAGTCAAGGAATCACACCATTAGATCTAAAGGGACACCTGGGATTCTTCCCACAGGGGAAAGGTACATGGTGTTACAAGGCTGCCTTGGGGAAGTGACAATTGACCTGGAATCTGAAGGCTGAGTAGAAATTAACCAGGTGGAGAAGAAAAAGAAGGGCATTCCAGGCAGAGAGCATAACCTGCCATAACTGCTGTGTAGGGGAAAGCAGGGTATTGGAGAGGCTCTGGAGGGAAGCCAGTGGCTGTAGAGGGGCAAGTCAGCACTGAGGGACTAGAGGAAATAGGAAAGGCAGGCCAGAGCCAGAGCACAAAGGCAAGCTCTGGGCTTTGTTTTGCGTCCCATTAACTGCATCCCCACTCATTTGCCCTGACCATCCCCCCACCTCAAACTTCTCTGTGTTTCTGCTAGGGTGTCCCTCACTTAATAAGAATCCCGGTTCCCTCCACCAGCCCCATATTTAGGATTATGTAAGAAATTTCAGCTATGCTGTCAAGTTAGAGGTAGACTTAAATAGGGATAAAATCAAAAGGGTGCATTATTGAGAATGAGGGAAATGGACACCCTGCCTTGAACAAAGACAAGGGACTGAGATCTAGAAATCAGCTCTTTCTCTATGATATATCCAGTCAGGTAAATGCAGTGCCCTGCTCATCAGTCTGCAAACTACCAATCTGAAGTGTCCAAAAATGTGTGCCCTAAACTCTGACAGATCTGAAACTCTGGAATTCTTTGCCAAGCTGGGGTGACTCTGTTATAAGGAAGGTATCTAGAGATTACAAAGTGGTGATATTTATATCCCTCCACAGCAGCTTGCATTAAAGAGGTGAAATCATTGATAATAAATATAAAACTGAATTTTAGGACATGGGGAACCATTGTGCGATCAACAAATGTGCAGATTTAGGGACAATTTCTGGGACTCTTGTCAAGGAGATGGCACAATGTGGTGAAAAGAGCCCAGGCTGAGATTCGGGAAGATGGTATTCGGGATCTCACTCTGGCTCTGTTGTGAAGGAGCTCTTGGGCCTTGGACATTTCCCAACAATTATAAGCCCCACCTTCATTGTAAAATATGGTGAAGTCAGGTTCTTAAGTATCATCAGGAAGCAAAAATCAAGTATCATCAAAACCACCTGAAAAATGCTTGAGGAAGGCACGATATTGGAGCCTGATGTACCACACGTCATCTCTTCCTAAGTCCAATGTTGCCGATTCCCCCCACCCCCACCCCCAGCATTGGACAGCATCTGCTGAACACCAGATGAAGTGGCTGGCTTGCATTCAGGAGCCACATTGTAACCAAAAAAGCATACTTTCTCTTTAAACACCGAAACCATGTTCAGTGAGGTGAGATTCTTCCCAAGAAGCACATGGTCCCGACTGAGGCAACGGGGCCAGGAGTCTATCTCCCATTTCCCCTGATACTGTTGCTGCACATGCTAAGAGAAGAAAATGATACCTCCTCATCACTACCCACCTCAATACCTCCTCATCACTACCCACCTCAAAAGCATTTGATGAGATTAGCTGTGGAAACACGTCACAGGAAACTTCACAAAGTCCATGTCAGTGAAGTAAAATTTCCAAAGCCAATTTGTCGCAACCACATTGTTTGAGGCAGCCAACGTTTACAATAATGTAGTATCTGTACTTATGATAGAATCTCAGGGCTCAATGTTCTTTGAAGAATCCAGTCCAACTCCCTACCCGAAGTAGAGTCCCATCAACCACAAAGAAGGAAACCACACAGACAGGGAGCTCACTTTTCAACGAGGTGACCTACTCTGCGTTGCACTTAGACATGTTTCATTCAATGACTTAACGTCTGCTTTTGTAGAACTTTCATTGACTGATTTTTGTAGTGCCTTGTGTAGATACACAAAATAAGTATTCTTGCATGTGACAGCATTTCAGATATTCAGAGATAGCAATCATGTCTCCTTTTTCCACAGGACATGGGTACCAAAGCTTTCATTCACCATCCCCGACACCTGCCTCCACATATACAAAATTTACCAGTGTCCCCACTACAGCATAGGCAGGAGAACCAGGCCTACCTATATGTGAGGTTCCTCTAAGAGAAAAACTCATTTCTTAGAATGTCTTAGAATGTCTTAGAATAATGGCTACAAATGCAGAGTAAACACATCATAGTGCTACAGATTAAAGATCCTTTTCTTTTCTTCCTTTTTTTAGATCTATTTATTTGAAAGAGAGCGAGACTGTCGGGGGGGAGGGGTAGCAGGAGAGGGAGACAATCTCAGGCAGATCCCACTTCTGAGTGTGGAGCCCGACGCAGGGCTCGATCTCACAACCCTAAGATCACGACCTGAGCCAAAATCAAGAGTTGGACCCTCAAGCAACAGCCACCCAGGCATCCCGAAGATATTTTTCATAAATGAAAATTTCAGGTGTGTCCATTTTATTGATACAGAACATGGACAGAAAAGAATGGAAAAAAAAATTCACCACCTTAATTCCACACACACACACACACACACACACACACACACACACAATCCAGTATCTAAAGCTCCCTATTATTTAAATTTTGAAATGGTTCCAGGGTTCGTGTTTGGGCCTGCATGTATGCCATCTCCGGAATTCATTTTTTAAGGATCCAGCCTAAACAGAATCAAGATACTGGGATTTATTTATGTTTTCTAACGCCCAGAGATAATTGAGAATGTCACAGTTATTCGTCAAGAACATTATGACCTGGTGAATCCATCAACTTTAACACGAGTAATTATAAGAACAGACTAAGGTTATCTCCCTAAAAGCCCTAACAGCTCCTAAACAAATGGCATCCCCTAAATTTTCTTAATTCCATGGCTCTTAAAGGACCAATGCTGAGTAATCTACCAGTGATACACAGTACTTCTCTCTGTTATCTATTGTAATCACTCTCTGGGTCTTGCAATGACTGAGATGTATGGCCTATATAAGTTGGGATATACACTGTGAAATCTGTCCATGGTTTTTGCTAAGAGTTGCCAGGTTTAAAATAGAGTGTAGGAAAATTACTCATAGTGTGGAGGAAGATGGGAGAAAAGCACCAAATGGGCTTTTAATGAGGACTTCTCAGTGTGAACATATGTAAAAAGAACTTTTAGATATAGGCATTGTGATAAATAAAAATGATCCAGCTAAGTTCTCAAGAAAGCTTATTAGGTACAAGATCATGGTGATTATATGTACAGTGAACAGTTTATTCATGAAAGACCATTTTGTTCACTGTTCAATGCACCAGCACACTTGGCTCCCCAGAAACACTTCAACTAGACAAAATATACCAACACATTAGTCATAAATATAGCTTTATTATTATATTTATTTCATAATCTAAAAAGTTTTTCTTTTGAATTCTGGGAAAAGAAAATTCCAATTTCCATACAAGTGATCTACCCTGCAGAATGCTGGAAAACAGTGTCTAAGCAACCTGAACTTTGCAGTTGAAAATCTATAACCTAGTTTGGGAATAAAAGAATGAAAGCCCACTTCAAAGAAAAATTTCTTCCTTACAAAACAAATAATAAAATTAGATCCATTCTTCAGCATAGCCTTGAACATGTTTTCCCAGAAACTTTGGTAATTTCTCCAAAAATCAACTCACAGGTTGAATGCCCATGTGGACAAAATATATATATTTAAAAATAAGACCCAAGTGGGACATGGTACATGGCCCAGGCCATGGCATGTAAGTGAACTATCCCTTAGAGTGAGCCAGCTCCCATGTTTCAACAGCAAATTTACGTCTCTAAGGAAGCACAACATATATAATGCATTTCCTTGTATGACGGTCAGAATTGAGTTGGAATTAAAAAGAATTTTTTAATATAATAAATCTTAAAATCATTTGTCTTGTGTAATGTATGTAGAGTAGATATGACATTATGGTGCTTTCTGAAGATAACCGAGTACCACTGTCAAAGAGAGCTGTCATGCCCTGTAGGCATATTAAATAAAAACTGAAAATGTAGGTTACGTTAAATAAAACGAAAAAAATCTGGCTCTACCACCTTTAAAAACAAGTTGTTGTCATTGCACACACGTGTTACAGGACAAAGGGCATGCAATACAACCAACAAATCAATTTTTTAGTATGTAAAAGGCTAGAGTGCAATCATGGTATAAACATCAATAATAAATAACTTTGGAGGAGATTAAGTCTCCAAATAAACAATAATTGTAACACTACAATTTTTACAATGTTAGCCTAAACAGTGATATTCACTTCACAGCAATGTTTTTTCCCACTTGATAGTTGCCTATACACCAGATGAATGGCCCACCCCCGTGAGCCAGATGTCAAAGTGAAGGTTCAAAAATCAACGTTTTCACGATGATAGGTTAAAAATATTTGTATAATGATAAGTTACACTTTTCAACTTACTGGCAATTTAAGTAACTGCATTATACCTATTTTTAATGCATTGCTAATCTGATGTTTATTGCAATAACAATTATTCTACTAATGTTAATTAGGTTACACTTTTAATTTTCAAAATAAGAGAATTCAGCTTACATGAACTAATGTATATAGTTTAAAAACCACCCACTACAAACACACACCTTTTGCTGAGTATTTAAAAATAAATTATTAATATACCTGACATATATATTTTGTGTTATATATATATATGTATATGTATACATTTGTGGACATAACTACTCTTTTTTCCAGAAGGATGTCAGCACTTGTAAACTCTGTAGAAGACCTGATGATATTGTTAACATTAAAAAAAAAAAAAAGTAACATGGAAATTCATTCTTGATGAGAACCATAAAGCAGGAGGTTCTTAACAGATGGTTCTTTATGGAATTGAAGGCTTTTTTTTGGGAGGGAGAGGACAGTCTCAGACTGTGGATCCCACATGCACTGTTTGTTTCAGAAACTACTTTAGAAAGCAGTGTCCAGTGAACGCTTCAAACACCTGCTTGGAAGGTAAGGACGTATATTTAATCATCAAAGGGCACAGAAGCAGCGGGAGGTGGAAAAGGGAGGCCAGCAAGGGGACAGCATGCCCAGAGCCCCCAGCGGCCACTGCTATTACCAGGGCAGCAGGAAAGGGCTGAGGAAGGTCTGCAGTGTTGCCAGGCCCCGGCTCACGATGCACGAGACGTGCCATCTGGGGCTGCTCCAGCCCTTCAGACCCGGAACTGTGATGGGAACTGATCAAAGAGTTTCATGGCTATAAGGTTTTGATGGGGTTTTCCGTCCCAACCACAGACAACACTAATGGCTTTGAAGACAGAGGCTGCAGCTTGGTCTCGGGGTGCAGAACGCTCAGCCAAAGGAGAGAGCAGAGGCGCCCCAAAGTCAGAATAAACACGCATCCAGGGAAACAACAAACCTGAATCGAACAAACTGGAAATGAAAACTGAAGTCTAACGAGATGAGTCCTGGAAGCAACCCAAACGTTGAAATATTGATTAACCAGAATACTTGGGGAAACAGGAATCCTTATTTTTGGAAGCTTTCAAATTAATGGAGGGCAAAGTTAAAAACAAATAAAAATATTACTATTTCACTGCCATTAAGAGAACTTTGCATTCCCATTCTTTGCCCCACAATTTAGAGAGCAGTGGACACAGAAGACTTTCTTCCTAGTGCCTGACATCTTGTGTGGCCTTGGGCGTCGGCTGAATCACCCCCACACAGAACCCCAGATGCAGACACTATTGGAGAGTGGTCTATTTATTTTACAAGTTGGAGCTTTCTTTTAACTAAAATTTTGGAATAAGACTGTTTTCATTTTTTTTTTTTTCAATTCTTTCTGTAATCTGCCTCTTGCTTCTAAAAGGGGCCTGTAATAAATTTCTGGTTCCCCGAGATTCCCGTTTGTTAAATTCTGGTTAATCCAGGTGCCTGAATGGCCACGAAATAAATGTATTATGCCCTTCTTTTTTCCAACGTGTCTTACTATGAGATGTATCCCAAAGGGCATTATTGTTGGCCCCCAGAATAACATTCTGCAAAGCCCGGCAATGATAGTCCAGGGCCACCACCCTTTTAGATGATGTTCACAATTGCTGTTGGCTTTTTTTTGGCCATTTTGGGCCTGATGTTGCCTTTCCGGCTAAACCCCAGAGGCTCCCCTTTCTTCGATGGTCTGCAGAGTTCTCTTGGGGACTCAGCCTGTTCGTGAATGGATTTAGCAGGCTGCATGCTGGCTCTGTCATCCTTGGCTTTTCTCAGGTAGCTCCTTCCTTTTGGATGAAAATGGGTCTTGAGATCAGCGTGGTTACACACAGGATGTGGATGCCCTCTACTTCTACAGATGGTCGAGCAGGGGGAGATGAGCAGAAAGAAAGATTTTGTTTAGAACCTTAAAAGAAAAAAACAAAAGCAAAAACAAACCATCCACGGTACACTCACTCCTGCATGCCAGAGTGGCAGAAATGCTGCCAGTAAATCAAATACAAATCGGTATTTTTCTTTCAAAAAGTCCTGTGGCCTTCATGAAATGATCTCATGATGCCAAATTCCCAGGGAGATGTTACTAGTTCTCTCACCAGAGACAAAACTGAGACACTGAAAATGTAAGGGACTCTCCAGGACAATACATACAGTTGGTCTATGGGAAAGATGAGACCAGAATCCAAACCCCTTGACTCTTTAAGTGACTATATATAGTAGTAATAGTCGTGTAGCCATCATAAAGTATGTGATTCCTAGCATAAATTTATACATATATTACATATGACATAGTATACATACATTAATACTACTATAGAGCTACTATGATTACACTATACCTCAATAAGAGAAAGTTACATTATAGAATACTGTAAAAATACTCCTGGACCACTAACATACTGCCATATACTAATAAGCTATTAGCATAGTTAAAAGTTGTATCCGCAATTTACGAAATTAGGTACCCAGGCAGGTATATTTTCATCGGAGACTCTCAAATCCATTTCGAATACAGATATTATATACATAAAATGTAACAGGAAAACACATTATGCAAACATTATCAAATGGCCCAAGTATAAAAAGATATACATACAGGCATTTGGGTTTCCTATTTGAGAAGATATCTGTAAGCTGAAGGAAAACAAATAAGAAAAAACATTACTTCGCTTGAAGGTTGGATTTGGCTTTAAAATCTTTCTTGCTTATATTTTTAAGAAACCGTTCCCATTAAGGAAGCCAGGAACTGTTATCAGTAGCACGGCCCATGGCACCTTCCGCCACGGCAGGGAACAAGAACATCTTGTGCTCGGCCTCTGCTTCCTCGGGGAGCCTCTGTGGCTCGCTGTTCTGAGATTTTCAAGAAGCCATTATCAGTCGATCTAAAAAATTTCAAAATGTCAAAGAGCCCTCTAATGGAGCAACATCTGAAGAAACATGTTTTTTAAAACTAGAATGATGCGCCATTATTTCTTGATTAATTCAGGCTGCATGTGCAGCTAATTTACTACAGCTGTGCTTGGTGACAGTGTATCAACTAAACGGAAAATTGGCATAAAATGTTTATTGCCTAAAATACATCATTTCTAAAGTGAGAGCCTATGAAGACCAACTCCACAACTGTCCCTGAGGCCATCTATCATTGAGATTATTTTCCACTCCCAATGAAGTATCTGCATGCCCTTTTGTGGCTAGGCTCAAATATCATTTGCAGAACAAATTGAGAACTATCATTTTGCGAGCCAGATGTCACCATTCACTTTAGAGGCAAACCCAGTGTACTCCCAACCTTCCTTCCTGACCTCCCTCATGTAGCCTTCACTAAAAGAAGTGCTGTCACAGCAGGAGGCAGACCCACAGAAGAGGATGATAAAGAAAATGTGCAGAAAGGGCCACGTTGGTGTTGGGGCCCAGTGTGACCAAGACGAGAGTCCTACCATATTCAAATAATCAGAGAAACCAAGTTCAGCATAACAGGGTCACTCTCCCTGGGTCTCCTGTCTGCAGCTTGAGCTGTAGTCAGAAACAAATCAGAAAGCTTTCCTTAAACTTTTGAGGGTCATGTCCCCAGGAAGGCAAGATGAGATTCCTGGCTTCTGCCTTCTGACTCAATGAAAAGTAAGCTTTACTGTTGACCCTGTTCACACTGGCTGGATTCAACAGGAGATTAATAGAGGTGGACCAAAAAGGCACCCCCAAGGAGGGGCTTGAGATTATGCAATATACAAAGAAGGTCAGACAGAGGGTTCAGGCAAGCGTCAGGCTGGCAGCTTCTGGGAAACCCGAAGGTTTCAGCATTTCCATCTTTCCGCGATGGCTCCGCTACCACTAGTAAGGGTTTCTTAGATCGGCTCCTGGAATGCACTTTAGTATTATGTATAAATTGTTAAAAAAAAAAAAAAAAAAAAGCTTACAGGGTTTTTCTTCCTTTAAATTGCTTCCTTCTTTTAAGTTATTCTTATGGCATAACAAATTTTTTTCACTTTACTGTATATATGTATGTAAGCATATAGTTTGATGATTTGTTGCATATGTACGTATAATACTCTTTGGAATTTTATGTAAAGTGTGTGTGTGTATGTGTATGTGTGTGTGTATTTACATGCATATGCATACTTTCCTCCCTGGGGAAGAGGCCAACAATGTCATCTAATTCAAAGAGGTCCCTGACTTCCAAAATGTTTTAAGAACCAAAACCTTGGTGCCTATGAATGTCACTGATGGACGCTGCTGGGACCTTAGGAAATTAGAAGAGTTTACTGTGTGTATTACCGAAAGGTAAATGCACAAATAAATATGGCTGGAGATGAGCCATAAAGCTCACCTATACACAGATATGTAAGTACCATGACCTGTGCAGGTCTATATGTCACACACTGGATAAAATGCTGACTATATAACCACCACAATTAACCCTCAAAACAACCCTATGAGGTAAGCATGGTCATCCCCACCCTACAGATGTAGAAAGTAAGGCCGAAAAGTTAAGTAGCTGGTTTGAAGCCTGAATGCTTTACCAGTTTTAGAGCTGGGCTTCAAACCCAAGTTAGGACATTCCACGTCCGAGCAAGACTTCACACTGCTCTGCCTCCTTAAGGAGCATGTGTTTGTGGAAGAGCCAGCAAGTTTGTACACAAAAAGATCAGTGGAATCCATGGCTGGATCCGAATCTCTCCAGTGATCCTACAGATCATGAGGCTTGGCTGGAGGCAGGGCCTGCTACCACCTTCCCAACAGAACCTCACATGCTCTCCTCCCTGTGAACACAAGAGGCCGCTGTTCCTTCTGGCCCCATAGCCTCAGGCAGATGGAAACCCTCTGCCCCCTTAGGGCCCCTCATTGCCTCTATTTTCTTGTAGTCCATCTACTTTGTAGGAGGATGGGGATCAAGAAGAGTCCTTAAGGAAGGTTCTGGAAAAATATAAATAGCTGCACAGAGAGCCCATCTGAGTGCAAACATGGTGTCTCAGGTTGTTTTGGGTTGGAGAAACTAGGCACCCAGCCCTCCTCCCACCTCCCCTCTGTGAATAGCAGCACTGTATACTCAACTGTTCAGGCCCAAATCTTAGATTCATTCTCGATTCCTCCCTTTCCTTCACCTGCTAAAACCTAATCTTTCAGCAATTCCAGCTGGTTTAGTCAACACTTTCCCCAGGATATATCCTATACCTGCCATTTCTCTCCGCCTCTGCTCTCCCCAAGCTGCCATCCCCCTTCCCCTGCCACACCATAATGGCCTTCTAAACTTCTCTCAGTCCTGTACCCCTCTAGTCTATTCTGCACCCAACAGCCAGAGGGATTTTGCTAAAACATAAATCACCTCCTGCTTACAACCTACCAACGGCTTCCCTCTCTGCTCTGGAACGGATCCAAACTCCTTCTGTGACCCAGAAGCCCCGGCATGATCTGGAACCTTCTTGCATCTGTGACTTCAGCTCATCCCCCAAACGTGCCAAGCTTGTTCCCTTCTAAACCACTTCCCAATTTTCAGAGAGCCACCTCAGTCCTGTTATTCAGGTCACAGTCCAAATGCAGCCTCCTCTGCAAGGCTTCTCCTGACCACAGAGGGATGGGGGCAGCCACTCACACACCTCCTCTCACCTTTTTCTTTACAGGGGTTATCACCTGCTGAGATCATCCTAGTTATGTATGGACTTGTTTCTGGGATCATCACCCTCCTCACTGAGGGCAGGGGCCTCACCCACCTCATTCACCCTGTTCCCCCAGCACCCAGTAAGTACTGCATTCCCAATAAACACATACTAAATGAATGGCTGCTAGCCCTGACGTACAACCTGCAGGAACTAACTGCAACACTTAAAATGAGATGATCTGAGCTTTTCATGACCTTCCCTTTGAGCAGGTCTGTGCGTGATTTTGGCAGATGGGATATTAGGTCACTTGATGTCTAATTTGACAGCATTTTTTAGAGCACAAAGACAAAATATCTGAGTAAGCATGTTACGTTTTTAGAAATCAGCCAGGTGAAAAAGAACGCAAATGCTCAAGGGAATTAAGGGGAACTACAGATGCCGAAACATCATTTCAGAAAAGGCATTTACTAAATGTGAGGGGGAATTTTTCTAGGGCATAAAAGAATCTTAAAGCTAGAACACACCTTGGAAAGAAGCACCTCATCCATCAATCTAGAAATTTCACTGCTGTCTGGAGGTGGTAATGAGAAAACGAGGAAAGGGACAGACACTGCTTCTCGGTGTGGCTTTGGCAACAATGAAGAGCCAGGTCGGCTGGGGACGGCATTCCAGGCTCTGGGGCAATGAGCTCTCCTGGGAGTGGCTGAGGCTCCAGAAGGCAGAGCTCCTCACTGTTCTGGGGCTTCACTAAGCTGGGCCAAGTCAGTCAATAAAGTGATGATTTGAAGCTTTTCCTGCTAAAAGCATCCAAGTTCTTCTGTGTGTGGATGGCCACAGGAACTCTGGGAGGCCAGACTTAGCACTTGCATTACATCAAAGACACTGTTCCTAATTTCAGAGGTGCGGGTATATTGTTAAGATTAAGCAGCTGAAGGAAAAGGGAGAAATGGTCTGAGGGTCTGCAGACTACATCATAATGTGCTATGTTACAGACCAAAGTGGAGTCTGGAGGACTTCCACGAACATGGGGAAAGTGCGTCTCTGCTCGATCCTTTCAGAAACAAAGCACCTCATTCTTGGTCTTCTCGGGGCGATGCGTCCTCCCCACAACAGTGACAGTCCGCCTCACTGCAGCCTGACCGTGTCCTACTCACAGATTGCTCTCCCTTCTATATTCCCCACTACCATCTTAACTGCATTTTCCTTTATTTCAATCAGTCAATTCTTCCTCGGGTAGATCAAGTCTGACGAGGGCAGATCATGTCATGTTTGGGACACAGGAGATGCAAATATGGATTAATTCCCTGCTGTATTTGTATGTCTAGATGAATGTGCACGTGTGCCTGTAAATCTGTGTATTTATGTGTGTACATGCGTGTGCACACACACACACAGAACTTCGTATATACACAGCTGACTAGAAGACCTGAGGCCTGTCCAACTTTTGATGGCGTCTACCATCTCGGTGAAAATAATCACTGGCAATATCTCTTAAAGGATGTTTAATTTTCAAGCTGGAAAAATAAACTGAGCAGAGGAAAGTGAGCACAGAAATATAAATAAGAGAACGAATAGGCTTCCTCTCTTTCTCCTTGCCTTCCATTGCTTTCTTTCTTTTAAGATCCTCTTGGCTTTGTACAGTAGAATTTTACCCATTTCTTAGCTCTGGGTTACTTGTAAGCCTAAATACTGAGACTATTTATGCTACATTTTTATTTTAGAATTCTTAACCACTGAAGTCAGGTGACGATCAGAGAATTTAAGAGGCCAAAGACCCTAGCGAGCATCTGGTCCAACTGCTTCATTTAATAGAATTATAGGCCCCAGAAGACAAGGAGCAGGGCGGGAATGATCTGGAAGCCAGTCCTTTTCACCTCACATCTGGGCCCCGTGACCCCATGCCACACTCTCTCCTGATAGAGAGCAGGATGGGAAGAAGGCAGGAAAGGGTTCAGAGCGTCCCTTCAGCCACACTGAGTTATGACTGCACTCACAGATTCCCAAGGAGGTGAGAGAGGAACTGAGGAGGGAAGTGTAAGCTCCCTCTCAGGAGATCACAGACACCAACAGGAAAATAATAAACATGTCAGGTGGCTAAAACTGCTTTGAGGTTCCAGTAGGACCCTCACAGAAGTAACAAACTTACTTCTTTCCAGCCCACTTTTGTTCCTGACTGGAAAGTTCTAGAGCTCCCGTTGCTGCCCTGCTCTAAGGCTCACTATACATTACAGTAAGATTGCATAACGTTTCTTCATTTCTTCCTTCCTCCCTCTCTCCTTTTTTTCCTGTTGTCTGTTCCTCCCACCTTCCTTCTTTTATCCACCTGCTTGTCATCTCATTCCTTCTTTTGTGATTTAATCATGTTTCCCTTTAATCTTGGCTTCCAGAATGCTCAAACTAAACTTTTTAATCAACCAGTAGCAACTTTACCAACATTTTGGTTAGCATAAATGTTCCCTATTTTTCTCTCCCTTATATGTACAGTCCATTTGCAGGGGAAGTAAAAGAATCATTTAAAAATCTTTGGGGAAGGGGCTAAGCATAAATAAAATCAAACAGATCATGAAAATGTTATAAATAAACCACTTTGGGGTTTCAAAAGTTCTTTTTCTGGCTTTGTTGTTATCAAAAAACTGTTTAGAGAGCAAATACGACCCCCCATCTCCCTCATCTAGAGCGTGATTATTTGTACCTCCTCCCCAACCCCCAAAGAGACCAGGGAATCTCGATCAAGCCACTTAGCAGAATCTGGACCTTTAGCCATATCCACGGTTCTTGTCTGGGCTCTGGGGGTTTCTTAAGTCCCTGAAACAATATATAAACTTGTACGCAAATATTTATTATAGAACTGCCACTTGTGAAATTCTCTAAGACTTTTTGAAAATCTACTTAAAGAATGTTTCACCTATAGAGACTAGCAGATGGTGGTGTCCTTCCACTTCAGGGAAAAAAAGAGGTATGTGGTTAGATTTTGCTACTACAAAGAAAGGCCAAAGCTTTCTTAAGATTCTCTTGAAGAGCTCCCAAACAGGATAATACCTCCCCATCTACTTGAGCACCCAGATTGAGACCCATGATTTCTTCAGCCACCTCCAACTCTGTTATTCTCTAATATAAAAATATCTCTACCTATTTATGTTGGTGTGGAGTGGTGGGGTGAAGACAACCGTGCATCCGGAATTTCACTTACTTCCAGGTGTCTTGGATTCACCTGTATGACTTCATAACACAGGGACGGCTGGCGCTGATGTCTAGGAGGTTCCCGCAAGTCATTCCCCAGCTCCCCTCTCCTCTGTCCTTGACCCAATCTCACCATACCCAAGGACCGCAGGCATGGTGGCTGGACCTGTGTGACTTACCACGTGCTCACTGATGTCTCGGCAGAGGCCAGCAGCCTGCTGGCTTTGATAGTACTCTAACTGCTTTTCTGCCAGTTCTACCCGTTGCAACAGATTCTCAATAAAGTCCTGGAGCCGGGCTTTCCCTTGGACCTCCTTCTCAGCTGCTGCTTCCAGGAAATGGTTGAATGTAACAACTTCTCTGCAAGGCAAAAACGTCAGAACAGAAAGCGGAAAAATGAACCAGGACTTCATTCATTTAACATGTATTTATTGAGTGCTGACTCTGTGTCGGGCAATGCCCTTGGCACTGTGCTTGCAGTGATGGCAAAAGAGATAAAATGACATTTTAGTGATTCTATTTCGAGATTGCACTGCAGTAGAAAGAGAGTGTCATTATCGAATATCCAAATAAATATCTAGGTCAGGGGTGGTAAGCGCTAAGGAGAAAACTGAAATCGGGTGCAAGGGGACAGAAAGTAACAGAAGGGAATGTGTGAGTGGTATTTTAGAAAGGGGTCAGGGACAACCTTCAGGATAGGGAAACAGGGCAACAGGTACCAAGGAATAAGCCAGGTGGGTTCGCAGAGAGACAGGTCTGACGGACAGTTAGGAGGGCTGCCTGGCTGCAGGCGGGGACTGGGAAGGACAGAAAGAGTGGGGGCCACTATAATGACTCCAGGTTTTCTTATAAATGAGGTGGGAAACCAATGGACACTTTTGAGAAAAGTTCTGACTTACATTTTAAAAGTCTAGCTGCTGGGGGAGAAGAGAGCACAGGGAGGGAAGGTGTGGAAACGAAAGGGCATGCGGAGTAAAATGAGTCACCTTGTCCAACTGTGCATTTTTTAGCTAAAAGTGAAATAGTCCAAGAAATGCCATCCTGAGGTTGACCCAAGGTCCACCGGGAAAGCTATGTTAGCTGACAGAGGAGAATTCATGTGCAGGACTGCCCTTCCCCTAAAAAGTTGAGCAAAATACCTCAAACAATATTCCTTTATCCACATAATTCATTGTCATTTACAGATCTAGAAAAATTTTAATAACTTTATTACTATTTGATATCTTTTTATTTCTAATGCATGGATGAAAACAACACTTTCCTGACTTAAAATGAAATCTGTTCTTTATAAAGATTCAAATACATGAGGAATATAAAGAAGAAAATACCATCTGAAACCCCATTATCCTGAGACCAACACCTGTAACAATTTGGTAGCCATTCTCACAAGCAACTCTGCGAAAACACACATACATACAAACACACAAACACACAGGTGCTTGGCCTTTTTCTCAGGCCAAGTACCAGGTAATCAGCATGACCAACAGGTGCATATTATCACAACTCTCTTCATCCAATTCTCAATAAGAAATTATGAAGATCTTTCAGCCTTCCCCTTTGTATGTCCTGCCACACCCACCAGGAGTAATGAATTCCATCGTTTTACCACCTGTTGGATATAGTACTTCTTGTATGTGTCTTCAGAATCTCTCTTGACCCTCAAGGAGTACCCCTTCCTTTATCTGGCCACTTTCAACTTAATGCAGAACCAAGATTCTAAAGACTGCTCATTCTCCTCCCAGGCTCTTTCATTTCAGATTAAGAAATCCCATTTAAAAAAAAATCGAACTCCATCATTTGTTCTAGATAGTTGATGAAATACACTGCCTTCTCTGCACCTTCCACTTAGCTCCATAATTTCTTGAGAGCAGAACTTCAGGTAAGTCTGACCCAGGAAGTTTTACAGAAGTTTTTTACAAAATAGTTGGTAGTGGTTTCTTGCTCCTTTATTCTGTACAATTAGTCAGTGACTCACTTTTACAATTATTTGTGATTTTTTTCTCTCACAAATATGTCACACTTGGCTATATTGAAACTTTTCTGACACTTCCTTCAGAGTCAAATGTCTCTGCAAAGCCTTAGAAATTACATATTTATAAAAATAGAAGAGAGACTGGTTCTGACGTGATTCATCACAGAACTGCTTATTATACTAACCCCCTTTTTTTTTTCTAGTTTCCTCTCCAGGATCAAACATAAACCGCAGTTCCATAATAATTCTATTATCTTTCAGTAGCTAAGACAAATTCACATAAAAGAAATGAATCCCTTTGGAAAGGAGTTTTCTCCCATCATCAAGTCTCAAGTTTATTTCCAGATGTTTCCGTATGAGCCCTGCATGGAAGACGTGAACTTTCCAAGCTGTCCAGGCCATGGACACCAGCCAATTTTAAAGCGCTACTGTCATTCAGCTTTTATCTGCCTAAGTAACCTTAAACTAGCAGCAAAATAATGGAGGGCCCGTCCAGGTGCTATATCCAGCATGCCACATCTGTTCATGGCTCTGAGGAATGGCTGAGATCCCCTAGATGGAGCTCAAAAGTACCACTAGAAAACAGAGCCTGGGAAATGGCTATTCCTTCGTCTTTCTGACATTAAGGCTTCCATTCATTCAGAGTAGAGACTTCGTAGGTGATTACTTAGGATATCTGAATCATGACAGGAGTTTCCAAACTGTACTTATAGGGAAAACAACCAAAACCCACAACCCTCTCCCTTACCCAAAAGAAAAACATAGGCAAAGAGCCAGTGTATTTTTTTCAATTCATTTTGGTTTGTAATATTTACCTCATTACGGAAATATTTTACATTTATTTTGGGAAAGATAAAAATTGACCTATTAAAAGATCTAAAACTGAGCAAGGGCCAAATCAGCCTTTTTGTTCCCTGCTCTAAGCCCATCACTTGATATAATACATCACATATAATGTTCAATATATATTCGTTGTAATGAATATTTTAAAGGACAAGGAAGAAACAAAAAATGACCCATAATCCCAACACCCAGAGGTACCTACTATCAACATCCTAGTATATTTTTCCAGTCTTTTTTTTTTCTATGCATATTTACTATTTGGGGGTTCTCAGGTTGTAAAGCTTAGAATGTAAAACAGCAATATTTGACCCCTTAATGCCACAGGATTAACATCTCAAAAGCAAGAAAACAAACCTGAGTGCAATACGGTTTATGACTGTGGCTATATTTTTAAATCATGGAATGTTTTGCTACTGGTTCTATATAAAACTTTTGCAAATTAACATCAATGCTCCTAGCTGATCCTGGAGTGTTATGTCATGTTGTAGAAGAGAAGCATCTTTTTCTAACCTCTCCCTCATCCAATTACCTTGTGCCCTGAAGCTGAGAAGTGAACACCCTTTGCATTTTTCAACCAACCTGGTGTCAATACTAACTTAATTTCAGTTTACGAATGGTTCACATCAACTAAAAAAAGAAAGAAAGAAAAAGAAAAGGCAGTTAAAACAAGCCTGATGATTTAATTTCAAATAAGATGTTATATAAGATGATGGCTGGAGAAGTGCCTCATGCTGAGAATATGTCTGGGTGTCTGTATTAGATAAAAACGGTAACCAAACCCAGTGACTAATTGTGGACTAGCCTGTGTGTACAACTTCAGATTCCCCTTTCACATCCTGTTCAATCTGGACCAACAATATCCAGAAACACCTCATATTTCCCCAAGGAATCTTAGGAATTTCCTGAATGAAAAAGAACGAGGTTTAACCACATTGCATTTATAACCGCTTTAATAATTAGACCAAACCGTCAAATATCCATTCAAAGTGGAAGACAGACCAACAGGTTTCAATATAAGGAAGAACAAGATATTCCCTGATAGGATTTCAGATCCCATATCTCAATGAATCTTGAAACTACCAATTGTCACCTTCTGGCCTAGTAGCAAAGCAGAATATCCTGTTCTTGGACAAAGCTATTAAAGCACCCCTCCCTTTTCTTACTACATATATATGTGAGATCGGATTTCCTTCATCTACTTCCACCGAAACAACAGATTTGCAACAAATGAAAGGCAAAAGTAACAAGGTCCAGTGCCTTCTATTTAAGTCAGATATTAAAAATATTTGCAAAACTTATAAAACCATGCTACTCTTTTTGCTAAAGAGTATTGTTATCTTATTGTTATTTTTAAATAAATTAATAATTGTATTTTGAATTTCTAAGTTTTAATTTCTTTTTTATTTGAAGATTTTATTTATTTATTTGGGAGAGAGAGAGAGAGAGAGAACACAAGTGGAGGGGAGAGGCAGAGGGAGAGGGAGAAACAGACTCCCTGCCGAACAGGGAGCCCGATGCAGGGCTTGATCCCAGGACCCCGAGATCATGACCCAAGCCGAAGGCAGACGCTTAACCAATTGAGCCACCCAGGCGCCCCTAAGTTTTAGTTTCTAATTCAGTAAATATTGATAGATAAAACTCACACTAACAAAACTTACAGGGATCCTTAGATATTTTTTTAGCAATATAAGAAGAAGTGGGGCCAACAGTTTGAGATCCTGCCAGGCTGGGTACAGGTGCTCCTGAATCTCAGAACGTGGGTGAGGAGTGAGCAACGAGGGCTGGAACCCCAGGAGGATGTGGTCACAGTCCACACGTTTATTTGTTCCACTATTTGGTAACTCGACAAACACTTATTGAATGTTAGCAGGTACTGGGCTTAGTGCTGGGGCAGTCCTGAACCCACGGCTATCCTCATGAAGCTTACTGCTGAATCCAGGGTCAGCCCACGTTTCGTGAAGGACTGGGGAGTATATATTTCAGGCTCTGCAGGCCATCTGGTCTCTGTTACAATTACTCAACTCTGCCTAGTGCAAAAGAACCATAGAGGCTGTGTAACAATAAAACTTTATTTATGGACACTGAAATTTGAATTTCATATAATATCCATATGTCGTGAATTATTATTTCTCTTTTGAATTTTTTTTCAAATTGAAAATTCTTAGCTCACAAGCTCCTCAAAAACAGGTAGCAGGCTGGACAGGTTGGCAGTGTGCTAACCCTGGATACAGTGGGAGAAGCAAATATTAAAAGAAACAAATAATGAAATAAATACATAATTACAAAGCTGAGCTGAATGACTAAGAGAAAGAATAATATGATGCCATCAGAGAGAAGAGGAAGAGACTTGTGTGGTTTTATTTTAGGTTCTCAACCCTGTGACCTAGAATATAGGGGGAAGCCTGGAGGGCCAGATGGGAGAGAAGACAGAGGGAACCTGAGTGAAATCCCATCAGGCTGTGTGCAAACCAGCTTCGGGGAAGCTGAGTCTACGTCACTTCCAGCCCCATCTTTGACTTCTCATATACGTATTTTTTAAAAAGGT